ATATCACAAACGGGCACTATTTTACAATGTTCAACATCACGAACAGGTGCTGTCTCACAATATTCAAATGGTTTCAAGATTAGGTGTAACGTAGCACGATCAAGAAGATTCAAAACAAATGTTCGTTCTGGTAACAATCGCTCATAGCTCAAAAATCAGCATAAGAACCACCTTTTGTGCTTTAACAAAAAGTTTTCGTTGGACAATTTTACTATATAAAATACTTCTCTCAAGATCCTAACCCTGACCCTAATCCTAACCTTACCGAATTTTAAGAATTTTGTCTGCGTCGTCAACCTTATACACATTTTCGGTATGCCGAATGGATCTAAAGATGTGTTAAAAAACTAACTTTATATGTAATCTAATACGGATTCAATCCGGATTTAATAGATCCGGATTGCCTGTCAAAAATAGGATCGAAGCTCTACTTGTGTGTGGTCTTTCGCACCTATATATTTTTAGATTGGATGATCATCGATTAATAGAAAAAATACTTTTTGAAGAGGAAATTTGCTAATTTTAATTAAGTAAATTATATGATTGCGCATGGCTTTTATGTCTCATATCAGGAGGTTAAAAACGAAACGAGTTTAAATATTAGACCAATCAAAATGTGAAATTTGATCAAACGATAGCGATGGTCTGAACTTTTTAATAAATTTGAATGATTGTTTTTAAAATTACTCCTCTTTGACTGAACCCATATCGGGTAAAAAGGTTCAGAATACATGTTTCCTTGGGATACAATCTTTGTCGCTACAAGGTCACATTGACAATACTATAAAAAATGTTACACGCGAGAAGAATTGGTATATAAGTAATTGAGAATTCCTTAATAATTTTTTTACTTAATTAACAAAGTAAAAGTTATTTACATTCTTTGAGATTTCAATTTCAAATTTTTGTGTACATTATTACATTTATTTTTTTCTGCGTAAGGTACATAATTTCCACTCTTTTTGTTCATACGCGTTTATGTATTAAGTATATTTTTATATTTTTTAATATTATACAAAGTATGTCGGGTAATTCTGAAAGTAATCAGAAAAATAAAAAAAGGCAATCTGAAGAACTTCGTAATGCCAGCGTACAATATACACAAGGCAACAAAAAAGTTAAATATTCTGATTATTTGAAACCATTTGAATATTGTGAGACAGCACCTGTTCGTGATGTTGAACATTGTAAAATAGTGCCCGTTTGTGATAT